AGTTTTACCGAGACTAAGTAATTCATTTAATTCTTCATAAAATCCGTTTTAATGCAGTTGTTCTTTTTAATGTTATAAAGTAGCGCAAACATAAAGAGAAACGAAAATTGTTGGATAAACACAAGAAATAAAGACGTTGACTTATAATGTTCGTTTTAACTGCACTTAAAGATTTAATAAAAATTTAGTTTATTTTCAATAAGTCCTCGAAATTAAAAAATGAAATAGAATTAAGGTTAAACAAGTTTTAGTGATTGGAAAGGTACTCGAGAAATATGTACAATAAAAATATTTTAGTAAAAGATTATGAAAAAATAGGAAAAAACAAAAAAATTTCTAGTCCCGCGCTTGTTTGAGAGTAGAAGAATATAAAAGTGAGTCATAGGATTAAAAGGATGAATGAAAACGATAATATGAAATATACGCACATTTATATCGTTGTAATTTCAAAGATATTTAAAATGTTACATTTAAAAATAATTAAAAATAATTTTATAATTACTTATGCAAGATGTTGATCTTAAGTATACATATGTATGTGTTATAATTAAGTCAATTATCATTCGTAATATTTATCTTTTTTAATAATAATTTAAAACAAAAATGAAACCAGTTTCAAAAAGGATAAAATTTCTGCGATTGATTTGTCAGAAGTGGCTTGTATATAGATCTATGTCTACAGCAGAACTGAAAAGAGGGTAATTGGAATGTGAAAAAGATTGTTATACGTTCGATCAACTAAAAAAAGTAACATTCTCTGGAAAAATGAAATACACAGTATTTTATAGGTGCATGCTTGTTGAATGCGCGAGGAAAAACGGTTTTTCAGTTATTTTAGAAAGTGAAACGGATCTTGAGCTTTTAAGTGAAAGCATGAAATGCTCAAAAATGTGAACTCAAAATATAGAAAGATCCTTGCATGTATCTAGACATTTTTTCCAAAATGTATTATGAAATAAGAGTAAAAAGCAAAAAATATCTGATTGTGAGTAAATTAAAGAATAGAAATAAAAAATCTTGTCATCTAAAAAAAGCCTTATTTCAAAACAGATGAACAAACGAATTTTACATTAGGATTGTTAACCAGTAAAAATGTCTATAGAAAAGTGAAAATGTTTATATGAAAAACAAAAATAAAATCAGATTGGTTGATTGAAAATGAGAGTTAATCCTTGATCTTAGTAAGGTGGTTTAAACAATGTAAGCAGTCAAACCAAATTACAAAGAAATGCCAAAACTATTAACTTAAAAAACGAAGCATCCAAATAGTACATAGAACACGAATGGAAATATAGAGCTGAATACTTTCTAAATGTTAAATATCTGCTGTTAATGTAAACTAACAATAATGAATTAGTCAGGATGTTTGGCATATAAAATAAATAGAACGAAACATAGCAGCAATACGTAGTTGGCTTTATTACAATTTAAATTTTAAACATTCAACAATTAATCAGATATTAAGTTACGAAAAAAATCATTACAAAATTTAGAATCATTATAATCCACAAATACAACAACCAAAATTTAAATAAAATGGGCTGGTAAAATTTCATAAACCTCTAGTTTTATCTTTATGTTGAAAAAGCGAATCCTTTACATGCTGGGGTATAGCGGATACAAATGTCTAAAAATAATCGATAAATGTTAGAAATATTGATTAAAAATACTTGATGATTAATCCAAGGCGCTGTGGCCAAAACACCGTGACTGTTTTGCATTTGTCCATTTTTCTCATATAAAAGAGGAAAGCCAGATATATCAGTAAGAGTACCACCTGTAACGGAACAAAAATATAAAATAGTGAATAAAAGTATTATACCAGCGGCAGTTAAAACAGCTTCAGGTGCAGCAGTGTCCCATTTTTTACAACCTCCCGAAGCGAATACATAAGCCGCCGCACCCTCAAAGCAACACAAAACTTTGAAACCAGCACCACCAACCCTACGAAATTCGTGGATTAAATTTTTTTCCTGGAGGGCTTTAAGAGCAGTATCAACCTATTTTTTTGCTTGATTAAACTTTAAATATTTTTTAAATTAACCAATTCGTTAGAATGGCTTGCAGTTGTAACGGCGAAAGGACCAGATGGAGGGGATTCTAAAATCAATATTTTGCTAAAGTTAGAATAAATAATAACCTTTACAAGTATTAATTCCAAAAGCTCCAACTCCTTTTATCCCCCAAATCGAACGTCCAACTTTAGGGTCTGACAGTAAGTTATAATAAGGTTGATGAATCACACCCGCGATTGGTCGGCCTTTGTAAGTAATTCCGATGAGAACAGTTACTTGCTCTAACAGACCTACAATAGATAAGATTTTAATTTGGTATTAATATTTTAAATAAAAAAACTTGGATCGTTTTGCGCTCTAACAAATTCCGATGTTCCGTCCAAAGGATCAACCCAAACAGTCAGCTGAAGAATAAAACAAAATTATCAAGGTGAATCATGTACAAAAAAATGGTCCGTATGATTCTAAAAATAAACTACATCTTCAATGTTAAGAGAGCGTAAATCTTCTTGTACACATTTGTCCACAAGTAGCACCTCACTCACTGATTCAGACAATTCAAACCCTCTAAGTTCATCTTGGCTTTTTTGTGAATAAGACAAAGGCAATTCCTTAATACTTTTTATAATTAAAACATAATCATTAAAAATGTTATACCTCTTCTCCGACAATTTGAAGTTTATTTCCAAATGCAGAAATTAGTTTCATTTCAATTGCCGCCTGGGCTGATCTAGAAAGTATAAAAATAAAGAAATATGGCAAGAGTACGTTTGTGTTCATATTATAAAGGTTTACCGAGTATACTAATTAGTAGAATATGAGCCCAGATTTTATGTTTCGATCCCGGACTAAAATTCTAGCTCGAAGGAGCGTGCAAGTTTTTTAATTATAATTTAAATTTAACCAGGTCATGCTTTGGATTCGGGATCGAAAAAATAAAATCTGGTCTCATATTCGAATTTAGCTCACATGATTACCTAATGCAAAGTTATAAAATATCGAAAGGTAAGTTTTTACCACTTTTCAAGAGATGGAATGAGAAAAGAAAAAAAGAAATTAAACTATTCAAAAAGATTTTTCAATTTTAATTTAAAATTTTAATTAAAAAATAATAAAAACTAACCTGTCCGCCTCGGTTTGCAAATCTTTTTTTAAACCATCCAAATTTTTGTCAACAATCTTTAAATCTCCAGACGTCATTACACACTGAAATAATGATAATAAGCATTGAAAGAAAAACAGAGTATTTAAAAAAAATTTGGGATTTACTGGTGGTATATACGCATGAAACAACCTTTATTATCGTTCCAGCTGATTCTGAAGCATTTAAGGAAACAGCAACAAGACGCGTCAAAAGACAAGAATTTTTCCACATTTCTTGAATATCAAACGATTGATTCATCTAAAATTACAGGATGTTAAAGTAAATAATCCGGTTTTTCCGAGTCCGAGATCCCAAATCCGCGCAGGAGTATGTATACAGAAAATAAAAAAGATCCCGAAAACTCCCAGAACATTCCAACAGTCTCGGAAGAAAAACAAATTTCTGTTGCTAGAGTATTTGTCTTGAAATAATTATAATTAGTTAACACTTTAACATTTACCAATTTAAAATTCCAAATTGATTTTGTGAGAAAATTTTGGTCAAAATTAATTTTGGCTTTAATTTTTGATATCTATCTTTTGTCTCTGTCTGCTTTTTTACAGGGAAAAGTTTTTGTTTTTCTTTTCAATTATCAATTTTACTAATCCTATCTATGATTAGCGACTTATTCAAACGACCATCATATTGACTCTATTGTTCTTTGATTTAATCGATTTCCCAGTCCTTTTTATATCGATTTTTTCTCTTTTCATTTTGAATGTTTTTTGTGGGTTAGGGACATTCAGTAAAATTGATTGTTCTCTACTGTGATCAAAATTTCTGCAACACTGCATAACTAATTTCCTTCTTTTTTTGTTAATGTTTAATGTTCGCCTGAGGTTGAGTTGAATGATCGAACCCGTTTAATTGTGTTTTATTTTTGTTTCTATCGTTTTTGTTTCTATCGTTTTGGGACTAGAATTAATTTTAATTGTTGCAGAAATTTTCAACACCCGAAGCTCCATTTACTGCTGATGTTGTAGTTTTGGCTTCTGGTTGCTCACATGCCTTAGAGATGGCTATTGTTGATATTGCTGATCCAGGACAAAATATTCTTATTCCAAGGCCTGGCTTTCCTTTGTATTAAACATTGTGCCAACCGAATGGAATTGAATCTAGGCAATATAGACTGGAAATGGATGATAAAGGATTAATGATTTGGCTCATTTGGAAAGCTTAATTGACTCACAAACACGTAAGGAATAGATAAAATAACTTTTAGACTAAATTAACTTTTTTAGGAGCTATAATAGTTAACAATCCTTCAAACCCGACAGGAGTGGTTTTTCCAAAGGAGCATTTGGAACAAATTTTGGAATTGGCACAAAAATATAAGGCAAGTTTTAATTAATTTAAAATGAATCTAAAATCTTGAAAATCTTATTATTTCTTAATTTTCACATTTACAGGTTCCTATAATTGCCGATGAAATTTATGGTGATTTGGTATATGGTGAAGGCGAATGTTTTCATCCAATAGCAACATTAAGTCTTCGTGTCCCAATAATAACTTGTGATGGAATTGGAAAAAGATATCTTGTCCCTGGATGGAGGCTTGGTTTCTGATTGTACATGATCGTTGCGGAGGTGTTTTGTCTGAAATAAAGAAGGGAATTGTTGCTTTAAGTCAAAAGATTGTTGGACCATGTGCATTAATTCAAGGAGCTTTGCCAAGCATTTTAAGAGATACACCTTCCGAATTCTTTGACAACACTAAAAAACTTTTGGCTTCAAATGCTTCTATAGTATATGATAAATTAAGTAGAGTTCCTGGATTGAGACCATTGAAGCCACAAGGTTTTTGAATTAAAAATAATTTAAAATAAAGATCGTATTATTAAGGTGCCATGTATATGATGGTTGGATTTGATCCTTCTCTCTTTGGTGATGAGACTAAATTTGTGCGTGGTCTGATTTCTGAAGCTCTTGAGAAGTTATTCGGCAGAAAATGGTTTTTATTTTTATAATTCAATTTTACTTTTCTACTTTCTTTTAAGACGACGATTTGCCTGTGCTTGAACTTAATGCACTCAGAGATTTGTCTTTCATCATTGAATCTTACCTTTTCCATATTTGCTTTATCGACCAATTGGACCAGGCCAAGGCTGTTGTACCACCAATCAAGATTAGTCGAGCAACAAGAGGAAATTCTGAAATACGACAATACGAGAATGATGAGCAGAAGAAGAGTAAACTTCGTCGTTTTTTCAAACGCTCCAATTCAATTTCATATTCGACATTGAGGTTGTTTTTTAAATTCCACAGATGTTATCTTCGCATTTTTAGTGATGCTGTTAAACATCATGCATTTACATATACGGCAGCTGATGTTTTGCCACTTTCTGTTCTTCCTTATCTACTCAATTCTGAGGCTGACTGAGCGTGATGTATTATTCGCTCTTCCTCCATCTTATCGTACAAGATCTGTGCATCAGGTTTCTTTTAACTTCGATTTTTGTTTTATTTCCTTTTTCGTTTGCAGCGTATTGTATTGGAGCATGGTGTTAAATTCCCTGCTCAACAAAGCCTTTCCCAGCCTCAATTGTCTTATGCTGCTTTACAAAATCGTCTATTCGGTGATGATGGCTCTAAAACGGAACAAATCGAGTCCACTCACGAGGCTACTAATTCTGATGCTATGGAAATATGCACTGCTACAAATGATGGTGATTCGAAAAAACTGAGCCCTCCGGTTTTCAATGCATTTCAAAAATCTATCGGACGATGGGATCGAACAATTATGTTTGTTGCAAAGGTTTTTTTGGTTACCCGACACTTGCGGAACGACATTTGCGGATCGACAATTGCGGATTGAATTTTGCGGAACGACATAAACGGTCCCGACATTTGCGGACCGACAGAAGCGGATCGACTTTTGCGGACCGACAGATGCGGATTAACATTAGCGGATCCGACATTTGCGGACCTGGTAATTTTTCAAGAAAATAAAAATCCTTTACTCTTGTAAAAGTTTCGTCCTAAATATTTAGATCGCCTTGGTCTTGTGTCTTCGAAACTTTTCGAATTTGAACAAGAAAAAGGTTCTATCCCAAAATTGTATGCTGATTCAACATTTTCAGCGGCCAGACCTGGTACCCTGACATTTTCGACACGCAACCCGATCCAAATATTTGTAAGTCGAAAAAATTTGAAAATCCTTTATTTTTTTAAATCATTAACTGGTCCGCAAATGTCGAGTCCGCAAATGTTAATCCGCATCTGTCGATCCGCAAATGTCGTTCCGCAAGTGTCGGTACACCGTTTTTTATCTACTATCAATCTTAAAAAATTTTTTTTAGAATTTCCATGACGATATCACAACATGGTTTGGTGGTGATTCTTCTCATTCTGTTCTTATTGGTAAAACCAGAGGTTTTTTAAATTTTTTATCTGCCTAATTCAGTTCCTTATATTTAAGTTTGTTAATTTAATGTCAGTTATTCTTAATTTCGGAAGCAGATGGATAGACTCAAAAGTACCCAAACAAAAGATTTATTGTTAGTCTTCAGTGTATGTTTTAATTTTTAGGTGCTTTGGGTAATTTTTAAATTTCAGCAAGTCCGACATGAAAAGTATGTTCTTCAACAAATCTCCAGACAACTAAATCACCACGATGTTCGTCGAACGAGAGGGGCTAGTGGATGTTATCTGATGGCTCTGGAACTTCTACAGCTACACAAGAAAATATTTTATTGGAAGAAGTGTTCTTGATGAGCATTGGACTGAAAATTGATGATGAATTACAAGGATGAGAGAAGCTAAAAAATGTGGCAAAGATGCTTCCGCCACATTTTAAGGTCTAAAAGATATTTGATTAAATATGTATTTATTATTTTTTTAGTGCTTTTCCGTTTGCCTCGAAATTTTTTGTTTTATTTTTTTAAAGTACAAAATTTTATCAAAACAGCAGGATTCTTAGATGAAAACGGAAAAGCACAATTAAGCCACTTGTAAAAAAAGGATTTTTGCGGATTCGTTTAGAAGAAAGCAAAAAGGCCTTTTCTTTACAAGTGGTATTTTTTATCACATTATTTTTTTGTTGGTTAAAAATGGGTTTGGGATGGGTCCCCCCGACCCCGGGTTTACCCAACACCCAACTCTTCCAAGCTCAGAGAGCTTCAGACAGACTCCAAAACGATCCAACTAAACTCCAAAAGGATCCAAATTGACGAACTTTTTTTCTAAAAATTCGAACTTTTTTATAACAAAACTCCCAGATGAATTCCAGATCAGGCTTTCATACCTCCGAGTTATATCCAAAGGCACGGGTTCTTATTCAATAGGTGTAGACAGTAGGGCACTTAGACCTTAGATTTGATTAGATACCCCCCCCCCCCAACCCTTCCCACACTTCAACGCTCCTCTACAACTTCAATGGCTTCTACCACCCGTCTACAACTTCAATGGCTCCTACTGGCCGTCTACAACTTCAATTGCTGCTGCCAGCCGTCTACAACTTCTCCTGGCCCTACTCTGATGAACCCTCGGCCCCGACTCGGTACTCTAATGAACCCCCGGGTCCAACTTGGTACTCTACAGTCTACATCTATGATATAAGACCCACCTTTCTTCCCACATCCGAGTCTGGCACAAATGTGACTCCCCAATACGTCCACGGACAAAATATAACTCCCCAATTCGTCCACGGACAAAATATCACTCCCCAATTCGTCCACGGACAAAATATCACTCCCCAATTCGTCCACGGACAAAATATCACTTTCCAATTCGTCCCAAAGACAAAATATCACTTCCCAAAATGACCCACACTGAAAATCCCGCACTGAACTGACCGACCCCCCTTTTTAAAAAAGATCTCTCCATAGGTTCAGGCTTTCATACCTCCGAGTTATATCCAAAGGCACGGGTTCTTATTCAATAGGTGTAGACAGTAGGGCACTTAGACCTTAGATTTGATTAGAACCCCCCCCCCCCCCCCCTTCCTGCACTTCAACGGCTCGTCTACAACTTCAACTGCTCCTGCCAGCCGTCTACAACTTCAACTGCTCCTGCCGGACTTCTACAACTTCAACTGCACCTGCCAGCCGTCTACAACTTCAACTGCGCGGACTCTACTGTCCCCTGGGCCCCGACATTGTACTCTAACGTCCTCCCGGGTCCAACATGGTGCTCTACTGTCTATCCCTATTTTATAAGACCCACCTTTCTTCCCCACATCCAAGTCTGACCCAAATTTACTTCCCGATTCGTCCCAGACAAAACGTCACTCCCCATTTTGTCCCACGGACAAAACGTCACTCCCCAATTTGTCCAAGACAAAACGTCACTCCCCAATTCGTCCCAGACAAAACATCACTCTCCATTTTGTCCCAAGGACAAAACGTCACTCCCCAATTCGTCCCAGACAAAATGTCACTCCCCATTTCGTCCCACGGACAAAATGTCACTCCCCAATTCGTCCCAGACAAAACGTCACTCCCCAATTTGTCCCACAGACAAAATGTCACTCCCCAATTCGTTCCACTCTAAATATTTGTCACCAAAAATGACCCGCACTGAAAATCCCGCACTGAACTGACCGACCCCCCTTTTCAGAAAAATATCTCTCCATAGGTTCAGGCTTTCATACCTCCGAGTTATATCCAAAGGCACGGGTTCTTATTCAATAGGTGTAGACAGTAGGGCACTTAGAACCTTAGATTTGATTAGAACCCCCCCCCCCCCTTCCCACACTTCTACAGTCCGTCTACAACTTCAATGGCCCCCATTCAAAATGTCACTCCCCAATTCGTCCCACATTCAAAATGTCACTCCCCAATTCGTCCCACATTTTTTTTTGTTCCAGAATTTGCTCCATTTCTGGAACAAACCCCAAAAACGTTTTGTTCCAGAATTTGCTCCATTTCTGGAACAAACTCTGAAAACCTGGCACCAAAATGACCGACACTGAAAATCCCGCACTGAACTGACCGACCCCCCTTTTTTAAAGAATTCTCTCCATAGGTTCAGGCTTTCATACCTCCGAGTTATATCCAAAGGCACGGGTTCTTATTCAATAGGTGTAGACAGTAGGGCACTTAGACCTTAGATTTGATTAGATACCCCCCCCCCCCCCAACCCTTCCCACACTTCAACGCTCCTCTACAACTTCAATGGCTTCTACCACCCGTCTACAACTTCAATGGCTCCTACTGGCCGTCTACAACTTCAATTGCTGCTGCCAGCCGTCTACAACTTCTCCTGGCCCTACTCTGATGAACCCTCGGCCCCGACTCGGTACTCTAATGAACCCCCGGGTCCAACTTGGTACTCTACAGTCTACATCTATGATATAAGACCCACCTTTCTTCCCACATCCGAGTCTGGCACAAATGTGACTCCCCAATACGTCCACGGACAAAATATAACTCCCCAATTCGTCCACGGACAAAATATCACTCCCCAATTCGTCCACGGACAAAATATCACTCCCCAATTCGTCCACGGACAAAATATCACTTTCCAATTCGTCCCAAAGACAAAATATCACTTCCCAAAATGACCCACACTGAAAATCCCGCACTGAACTGACCGACCCCCCTTTTTAAAAAAGATCTCTCCATAGGTTCAGGCTTTCATACCTCCGAGTTATATCCAAAGGCACGGGTTCTTATTCAATAGGTGTAGACAGTAGGGCACTTAGACCTTAGATTTGATTAGAACCCCCCCCCCCCCCCTTCCTGCACTTCAACGGCTCGTCTACAACTTCAACTGCTCCTGCCAGCCGTCTACAACTTCAACTGCTCCTGCCGGACTTCTACAACTTCAACTGCACCTGCCAGCCGTCTACAACTTCAACTGCGCGGACTCTACTGTCCCCTGGGCCCCGACATTGTACTCTAACGTCCTCCCGGGTCCAACATGGTGCTCTACTGTCTATCCCTATTTTATAAGACCCACCTTTCTTCCCCACATCCAAGTCTGACCCAAATTTACTTCCCGATTCGTCCCAGACAAAACGTCACTCCCCATTTTGTCCCACGGACAAAACGTCACTCCCCAATTTGTCCAAGACAAAACGTCACTCCCCAATTCGTCCCAGACAAAACATCACTCTCCATTTTGTCCCAAGGACAAAACGTCACTCCCCAATTCGTCCCAGACAAAATGTCACTCCCCATTTCGTCCCACGGACAAAATGTCACTCCCCAATTCGTCCCAGACAAAACGTCACTCCCCAATTTGTCCCACAGACAAAATGTCACTCCCCAATTCGT